GGGAGGGGGTCCCGTGGGCTCAGGGAGGGGCTCTCGTGGGTCCAGAAGGGGCTCTCATGGGCTCAGGGAGGGGCTCTCGTGGGTCCAGGAGGGGCTCTCGTGGGCTCAGGGAGGGGCTCCCATGGGATCTGGGAGGGGGTCTCATGGGATCTGGGAGGGGGTCCCGTGGGCTCAGGGAGGGGGTCCCGTGGGCTCAGGGAGGGGCTCTCGTGGGTCCAGAAGGGGCTCTCGTGGGCTCAGGGAGGGGGTCCCATGGGATCTGGGAGGGGGTCTCATGGGATCTGGGAGGGGGTCCCGTGGGCTCAGGGAGGGGGTCCCGTGGGCTCAGGGAGGGGCTCTCCCGTGGGCTCAGGATGGGCTCCCGTGGGCTCAGGGAGGGGGACTCATGGGCTCAGGGAGGGGGTCCCGTGGGGTCCAGGGGGGGCTCTCATGGGCTCAGGGAGGGGGTCCCGTGGGCTCCAGGAGGGGTCCCGTGGGCTCAGGGGGGGCTCCCGTGGGCTCCAGGAGAGGCTCTTGTGGGCTCCGGGAGGGAGTCCTGTGGGCTCAGGGAGGGGCTCCAATGGCCCTGGGAAGGTCTCCTGTGGGCTCAGGATGGGCTCCCGTGGGCTCAGGAGGGGCTCCCGTGGGCTCAGGAGGGGCTCCCGTGGGCTCAGGGGGGGCTCCCGTGGGCTCAGGGGGGTCCCATGGGCTCCAGGAGGGGCTCCTGGCAGCCCGGGGTGGCTCCAAAGGGGGCAGATTTTGCCCTGACAGGGCAGATTTTGCCCTGACGGGCCGTCCCTCTGCCCGGGCAGTACGAGGAGCTGCAGGCCACGGCCGGCAGGCACGGGGACGACCTCAGGAACACCAAGCAGGAGATCTCCGAGCTCAACCGGCACGTGCAGCGGCTGCGCTCCGAGATCGACAGCGTCAAGAAGCAGGTGAGGAAGGGGCAGAAAACCCCCCGGCTTCGACCAGTTTAACCCCTGACTGAGCAGGGAGAGAAAGGAAAAGGTCGGAGCCAACCTGGGAACGTTCCTCGAGGTTTGATCCTTTTTTGCTCGGAAGGANTGGGAACGGGATCATCTTTCCACTCCCTTCCCACCCAGCCCGTCCCACGATTCCATGGAACCCACCCCCTCCTCTTTCCCGGGGGTCCCCAGCCGGGTGTGGATCTCCCGGGGGCTCAGGGGGTGTTTTTTCCCTGTTTTCCCTCTCTCCCGCCCAGCCGTGGTCAGCTCCAGCGGCGGCGGCTTGTCCAGCGCCGGAGGATTCCTGGGAGGAGCCCTCGGGGCCGGGATGGGCAGCGGAGCCCTCGGCTTCTCCTCCGGGGGGGCCACCAAGTCCTACTCCATCACCACCACCTCCAGCAGCCGCCGCAGCGTCAGGAAGTAACTCCGGCCGCATTCCCGGGAGGGAGGGAGGGAGGGAGGGAAACCCTCGGGAAGCGACGCCCGGGTGCCTTTCACGAGAAGAAGCGGCTGCAAAACGAATTCCTGCCCCTGCCACGACACTCCCGAGGCTCCATCCTGCTCCCGAGGCTTCATCCTGCTCCCGAGGCTCCATCCTGCTCCCGAGGCTCCATCCTGCCCCGGAACGTCCCCCCGGGAGCAGGATCAGACCTCCCGGGGCTGGGTTTGGCAAATCCCACGTTCCCGCTGCGCCTTTGCCGAAGACACCGGGAGATTCTGCCCCCCCTTAATTGGATTTTGGAAGGTTTCCACCCCTCAGGTCTCACCCCGGGCTGGGTTTTTTAAAACAGGGAGAAAAGGGTGAAACTGCTCTGGATTTCTCATTTTCCTTTGGGAAGGGGCTCAGGGCTGGAATTCCACGATTCTCCTCTGCCCGGAGCTGTTTCCCGCCCAAAGGCAGATTTATTTCGGGCTCTTTGGAGCAAAATAACCCATCAGCTCCTCCCTCCCCTGGTCCCTGTTCCTCAGTGCAGCCCAGAGCTCGAGGGACATTAAATTGCTGGAATTCCCACTCCAAAGGGGGAGAACATTCCCAGTTTCTGGGTGTCTCTGTTCACTCCGGGGGTATTTCGGCATCTCTGGGGTCTCCTCTCGCGAGGCAAAAGCGAGTTTGGGGTTGGTGCAGGTCCCAAAAACTCCTCCTTCCTGCCCAGGAGGGGCTTCGGCTTCCCCGGGCCGGGGGAGGGCGAGGTCGCGGCTGCCGCGGGAAGAGTTTTTAGGGAACAGCTCCAAGGAACTGCGCAGCCATCCCGTGCTGATGCTCGGCCGTGTCCCGGCGGTGCGTTTTTGGGGGGAATTTTGATGCTTTTCGTGTCCGTCCCGAGGCCTTTAATAAAGTTTCCCTTTTTCCTGCTCGTTCAGTCCCGGCTGAGTTCTTGGTGCTGCTCGGGAGCGACGGGAATTATCCGGGAATCCCCTTCCTGCTGCATCCAGAGCCTGCCCTGGGGCACCTGGAGCAGGGACCGCGCGGGATTTGGGATTTGCTGCCTCCCCAGGGTCATTCCCGGCGGGATTTTCCCTGCCTGGAGGGCAGAGGGAGGAGCGGGGTGGGGTTGGGTTCTGCTCCGGGTGAAAGGAGGGATCGGGTCCCTCTCCCTCCGGGGATGTGGGAGCCTCCTCAGGGCTTGGAGAGGGGAATTTGGGAAATGATTCCTGCTCCTCTGGGGCCCCCCCACACAGCAGAGCTCTGCTG